ATCACGCACATTATCTCAGTAAATATGCTTAGACCCTATCTAGGTTATCAAAGCCACTGAAAAGGCTCATCTCTGGCCCGAGTTGGTTTTCCTATACATCAAATATGACGAGTTTGTACGTGTTCCTTTTACAAACTTTGTCAATAAATGCTTATGGTTGTTCCAGGATAATGCGGCCTTGGCGATGATTGAACGTTCAGCTGATGCTTGGGAACACAATCAGTTCAAAGACGTTGTTGTTCGGGCTGCTAATGTCGAAATGTGGGTTCTCGCAGACCTCACGATGCTCCTGGCTAGAACGATTTTCTAGATATTACAAGGCGCTCACATTCTATCTTCAAGAACAGCCAACGCTTTTGACTGATCTTCTCACTGTCCTCATTCCCCGCATTGAACACGCGCGGGTTGTCCGTATGTTCCGCCAGATAGATCATGTTCCCTTAATTCGGGCATATCTCATTGCCGTCCAGCATGTAAGCCGCTTTGTACTTGTTGTCTTCTTTATGCGAGAGCTAATTACTCGGGTAGCTGAATATTGAGACCGTGAACGATGCATACAACGACCTTCTCATAGAAGAAGAAGACTATAAAACGCTCCGGGATTCTATCGACAGCTTTGACAACTTCGACAATATTGGTCTTGCACGGCGCTTAGAGCAGCATGGTCTGCTGGAATTCAGGAGACTCGCAGCACATCTGTACAAGGTACACAATTGTTTGGGTATACAATGATGTGATGCTTACTTTGTATTTAAGAAAAACTCTCGCTGGGAAGAGTCGATATCACTCTCAAAGCACGATCAGTTGTATAAGGACGCTATTATCACTGCCGCCACCTCCGCTTCAACGGACGTCGCTGAAGATCTGCTCTCTTACTTCGTTGATATCGGCAACAAGGAGTGCTTCGCTGCTATGCTATACGTTTGCTTCGACCTTCTTCGCCCGGATGTTGTGGAGGAGCTGTCATGGCAACACTGGTCTCAATGATTTCTACATGCCATACAAAATCCAAGTATCAAGGACTATGCGCGAGAAGTTAGCTGCATTGGAGAAGGAGGTCAAGGAGCGCACCAAAAAAGAATCCGCCAAGGAGCAGCAAGAAGCTGAAGCCCCGATTATCAACCCTGCCACCCGTCTGCTGATAACCAATGGGTAAGCAAGATCCAGACGAGTTCACATACTTGATTTAATGAACGAGTCTCAGATATGTCGGTCAGCCGCCACCAATGCCAATGGCAAATGGTAACGGCATGGTTGGTATGATGCCTGTGAGTTTTCCCGCAGGCGTACTTGGAGTTTCGTATGACTGACCTGATACTACTTAGGCTATGACCGGCTTTGGATTCTGATCGTTTTTATGTGGACTGTTACCCTCTACCATAGTACATGCTTGAGATCTGCTGTAATGAATTTTCTTCAGTCGTATAACTCTGGTCAGTGTGTGCATGTGAATGTTGTTTGTTTATTTATCTGTAAGTATATTTATTTCCAACTGTTTGGCAAATTCTGCGACATCAAAGCCGATCCCGATCCAGCCAAACTCCTTTTTTTACGACCCAGCCCACACAGTTCAAGCTTTAACTCTAGTGTGCACCAAGGACTGTAGTTCAATGGTTACAACAAGATCGGCCACTCGTGTGGTCGGCAATGACTCCACAAAAGTAATGGTCTTAAAACCAGGAAGCTTTGTTCCTCAAGCTAGTACTAGTGACGAGGATTCAGAAGACCCTGATATTGCTCCGCGCCACGTCAAAAAAAGGTCCAAGAAACGCACGGGTCACCGCGCCAAAAAGAAGTTGAAGCGCCGTGGACGACTCGACCTAATGCCCACCATGAACTTGGATATTCTATTTCATGTCAGGCTCAAGCCTACATATTTTTTGCGCAAGGCTCATTGTGAGCTCATACAGATACTCAGTTTTCTCTCTCCAATGGACCTTTTGAATCTATCCCGAACCAGCAAGGACTTCAGGAATTTATTGCTGCAACGATCATCCGCTTCTGTTTGGAAAACTGCCCGTCTTCAGGTTGATGACCTTCCCGATTGCCCTCAAGATATGAGTGAACCACAGTATGCAAATCTTGCTTTTTATCCTCATTGCCATGTGCGACGAGCTTTACCGAAAGTGCCGCAATCCTTGCTCACTGTTATGTATTACAGGATTGTGACAGAGTTGTCCGATCTGTTTTATGGCCACTTCGGGCACGATACTGTCCCAGATGCATCGGTGAAAAGTTGGTCATCTTGGTTCAGGCTTCTCAACCCTTTTGTTCACGCTGTGCATAGCACTCTTGATCAGTGGAGTACAGCAAGCCGCTTCCCATGGACGGTAAATTTCAATTCATATGACTTACCGCATGCCATTATATACGGAACGGGTGGGCCTACCTTGATTTGCATCACTGTCACATTCGTCTTCTTACGGTGTTGCAGGCAGACCCAAGCAGCTGTTCCTCAAGAAGGCACTTGATGAACTACGTGCCGAGCTCTCGAAGACGCCGGCAGACGAGATGGTAGCTTTACTGCGTGAGAAGCGAACAAATGCTGCTGAGGTCATGAAAGTAGGTCGTCGAACTAGTTTTACTTGGGTCATGCAATTACACCTTCATTCCAGCATGCAGAGCGATGTCAGCAGTGGTTAGAGTATGTCGCAAGTTCTCGTAAACTTGAACTTGACGCCATTAGACGTGCTCGTCAGGACGAGTACGTCAGCTACCCCTTTCTTGTATGCTCCAGCCTTGACCGATGCGCAAACATAGTATCGTGACTCGTCTCACTGAAGCAGGCTACAGGCCTGAGTTGGACTATGTCAATAAATTTTGGTTGGAAGACCATCTGGGGACATCGTTCAAGGAACCCAAACCTCTTAATCAAAAATGTGAGTATGTCGTCAAATTGTTAGAACTAGGTATACAGCTTCTTGCTACTAGCGTGGGATCGTATGCGCCCAGATTTGATTACAGCGCTTGATAAGGTCAGGATGCGTCGCATAGAAGATAAAGTCTACGGTCCTCGGCGCCAGATCCTGATGGACGAATACAAGAAGTACCTACAAGACCCCCCTCCCGCGGACGCAGCATTTGACCTGATGCCACATGCCGTCAATGTTGCAGAATTCGACCCCTTCAGAGTTATCATCACGTCACCTGAATCAGCCACAATTACCGCGACTTCATTCGTCTCTGCTTTCCAGCGACTCCCGGACTTCGTATCCTCCTGGAGAGCCAAAATCGATTGCGAATTTCTAGATCTGATCCGCTGTCCAGAAAGCCAGGGTGATGGTGGGAAACAGGAGGATGCGGATTGCCTGCAGTTGGCAACTGCTACATTTATTGTGGAATCTGGCAGTGATCGTCGTCTCCTGATGTATCCTGAAGTGCTCTCGTGGCCTGGATTTTTCGCCCCGGCACCTGTCACGCTGTTCGACGAGGTCTACCTTCTACAAGTCAAACAGTTCGAGTGCCGGATGTGGTCCGCCGTTAGACATCTTCCTCGGATTAGTGTTTTTGAGGGAACTGCAGCTGTCGTCCAGGCTGCCAGTCTTGACCCCAAGACTACGCGTCGAGAGCACATGGATGAACTGGATACTCGCTTTGCATGCGGAAAGTGTTCCACGCCGGGCAGCAAGGTAGTTATGACATGGGACATGGCGGTAAACGAAATTTACGCGAATTTTCGCGACCATGCTCATCGATTTGTAATAACAGGTGATGCACAGCTATCGCTTGCACAGAGATCTGCAACCTGAAGAGATCAAGTGGACAATGATAGAGGGGGAGGAGTTGGAAAATGTCAAGGATTATGAGAAAGAAGCCAAACCTCCTGTGAAGGCAGATGCTATCGTGTATTGCGCCTTGTGCCAGCATCATGTGCGCGATGCTCGGTCACTTACTTTCATTCAGAACCATCTGGCTGAGATGTGGGTATTTTCTTCATTGGAAGTAAATTCATGCTAAGACTGTCAGCAGTCATGGGATTCCCTCGGATAAGGCCGAACAAGGCACACACTACATTCCTGACCGCAATTCAACATCTGTGATTTCTATGGTTGTGGACAGCGACGGCAAGGTATCAAATCATACCGATCATCGCTTAGTTCCGTCATACTCCAGTGGTATAGAACTCCTTTACTGGAAGAGCCACCTGGTGTAGTATATTCCTATTCATCTCATATTCAACATGCATTTCTGAATATCTATTGTACAATATTATTACTGTGGGCATGGAGACAGACACCCCGTAGCACGTAGAGATCTATGTAAGAACTGTTGAAATCAATAAACTAATATCAAGTATCAAGGCAACTGATCCAACAATGATCAGTACATACTGCAACATCCATCTTCGGAAGTTAAATGACAGCCGGCGGCGACCAATTGTCATTGTCGTTACCTTGCCTATAGCTCTGAACAATGCTAGGATCCAAAGTATTTAGGGTCAGCTGACATCAGTGTACATACATACGGCATCCATATCAACGAGGCGAGCCATTCGTACAATAGTCCAGCGTAGATCCTCACTGATGGGCTTGCCTTTGGCCATGTCGAAGATAAAGAGTGATCATAAACGAGAGGCAAGCTCACACGATGAAAACCGCACTAAAAGCTCTTGATTTTTTTGCTGTGCCCTCGGGAGACAATAGATAATGAACAGTTGAATGACTGTTGGTGGAGAGGATTGGTTGTTCTTGCCGGAAAATTGTGCAAGGCAGAAAGTAACACCGCGTTTACGTAGAACTAGACAGTGTCAGTTGCTCCGTAATAGACTCGCTTTTCCAAAGAAAGTAACACCATGAAAACAACTGAATACCGAAGTAGCGGCCAAATTGCTCAAATTTTGTTGGCATGCGCTAGGCACCATAAAATAGATCAGCAAAGAATCATAGCATTTGGAGCGGTGATTGTTGAGAGATAATTGTTTGATTCTACGTATTCGAAAAGGCTGAAGAAGTGGCGTTTCGGCGGCTGTGCCAGCTGTTTGAAAACGGGATCTGAACACACTATACTTTGTCGCTACTTTCTTGTGAAGGCTTGCAACAACCGGAGTCACCACAGCAGCGCTGGGAAGCTGTATTGGGCTGCTGCATCATGATGACTCCGGGCATGACTTGTTTATCTGCCTTCCGTTCCTCTTGTCCACAACAACAGCTGCCATTGAATTTATCGTTGCTTGCCCACCTGATCATCTTGAAGCCCTCCCAACCAAAAAGCATAGCAATCACGATGGCAGTCGCGGAGTCGACCCACCACCCACCGCGCCAGGCACGGTATACGAGGGAGCCAATCAGCAGCGCACTGCTAAACTGTATGCACGACAAGGTACAAAGTGCCTCGCCATTCATCGTGCTGGAGTTCAGCGCCTTTGCAAGGTAGCGCTTCGGTACCCAGAACAAGAACATGATGAAGGCAGCACTCGCAGCGATGATGAGTGATGCGTTAGATGGACTAGGGTGGTCATGGGCGATGAGGGAGGCGATGGATGTACCTACGGCTGCTAGGGCAAGCATCGCGAGGAGAATCCCTATAGCCAAGGTTGCTATTCTCTCTATCCTGTTGTGTGTCGGCAAACGAAGATGGCAGAGGGGAAAACATGCAAACCTCAGGTCTTTGCTCATTCTGACTTCAGATCCATCGTCACCTTCTTCACCAGCTTTGAGTCCGTTCATAAATCTCCAAACCACGAGTGAGGCCGAGAGCACCTCGATTACCGATTGAATGCCAAAGAAGATGAGAGAGTGCGAGGACGATTCTGCACCAAAGAACACAGAGACGATGCCTTCTGCAATATTGTAGAATAGGCTGGCGATGCTGATGGCGATGGCACTTTTCTGCAGGAAGGGGCGTGAAACCATGGTGGTGTGAATATCAATGTATGATCGATCAGTTTGGTTGTTTTTATGATAACGATGGACTTGGAGCAAATATCGCTCCGGTGGCAAATATCGCTCTGGTGGCAAATAATATGCCTCATGCGGCAGCCGCCAGACTCGCGCTAGCTAAAAACGTGTCGTGTGCAGTCGGGCAGACAGCGGACCTCTTCCCGGACAGAGTGGAACGCTATGAGAATTCTCGCTAACACAGTGGGTGCAAATTTTTTTTTTTTTTTTTTTGGAAAAGCGATGTGTATTTGTAGCAACTGACTAAGTCTAGCTCTACAAGTACGCGCTATAGCAGTGTTCTAGGAACACCGTTCCGAGGAAAAATGCACTTACGCACCCCTACCATGTGGTGGGTGTGTGGGACTCTATGACTACCTGGGGGCCTAGAGGGCCTGGGTGGTTTGATACCCACTAAAACCTGGCCCAGTTTCTGTTATGGTTTGTATGTGTTGTGATTACGTCAGACCAGGTGGAGGTGACTAAGTTTTTGAATTTCTCTTTTCGTATGATCATTTTTGCGGTGGTTCTATCAGTTTGTAGTCTTTTGTTTATTATTGTTGACCATCGTTTGGTTATTGATTGCTCGGAGTGTTGTACTCTGTTTATCGTTCTGTCACATCTCAGACCCAGTGAAAATCGGTCCTAGCGATATCTATGGCAAACAACGACGATATAAAATATATGCCAGGAATATTGTAATAACTACGCAAATCGATAAATGTAAACAATATGTCAACAACGCTCGATCAATTATCAAATGGGTTTCAAATACACATTTGACAATGCGCTCAGTAAATGTTGAACATGTTGAAATTCTTTCAACTTTGACTTGACTTTGTTCAATATTTCAACGTTTGAACATTCTTGCGCATCAGCTGCGCACGCACCATCACTTCATGCAATGACGTCAATATGCAGCGGACCAATATTGGGACATTCCATCCCTACTCGCTTCATCTCAGCTTTCTTCTTCCCCTCCATCATCTTGTCTTCCTCTCAGCAAAACCTTGCCGTTGACCTCAACCATCCTGGCATCATCTGACACATAACTAATATTTGAAATCACCTACACCATACACTTTCTGTATCCGAGGGAGCAACGGACCAGTTGTCCCATCATTCCATCCGGCTAGGTACATCGACCCACAAATTGTCGCAAATTGCACTCGTGCGCGCAGCCACTGATCTCATGGCCACTAACAAGATAAGTATTAGGCTTTTTCATGGCTCAATCCATTTGCTGATCCCACCCACTCGACCATCGGCCGTTCTTGTGACAAGTAAGCGCTATTCGCGGTGCATATATGCACATATTTTGAATATTGTGAGTTATTTGGCATTGTCAGGTTCATTCACTGACTGTTTTACATCATCGCTAGCTCAATACCATTGTCCTGATGATCGACACATCCAGCGGCTTCAACAGATACACCGTTACAAGACAGTCAATTGGTGAGTTCCATTAAAAGCTACCTAATGTACTTTAACTGATATCTATTGCTGTAGAATGAGGCAGCTGCCATCATTGTAAGTACTGTCTACTTGCCTGGCAAGTATATTCTGACAATGATTTGTTTCGGTCAAGGACTCCCATGTGCCAGAAGCTAGTGGACTACGTCATCCTGATGCGCGGGTGGGGGTGCTATGGTATATAGAGTATTGTATTTGTAATTTTTCATAATACAATTATTTTTGGTCGATTTGCATTGATGAGCAAATATGCACAAGTCAATTGGGAGCTATGGGAATATACTAGAATCTATGGTACACAAACACAATCAATGATACAATATCTCGCTCAATGCGAGTCGCTAAAAATCGACTATAAGTCTCATTTTTCTCCGGAAATCGACATGAATATTGTCACAATATTTCTGTCGTTTTCCGGAGATATGGCTAGGACCGTTTCTCACTGGGTCTCAGAGCCCAGATCAGGTGGGCTGATTCGGACATTAGAATTCTTAGAAGTCTCGCTGATCCTTTTTGAATATTATTCCGGTGCTCTGCTGGGTTATCTTCGTTCTGTCCGTTTGTTGGGACTTTATTGATGTTTCCGCACCCCATTATGGTTCCTATTGTCATTTGGGGCCATTCTCCATGTTTCGTGGGCCAGAGGTCTCTCGCGAGGTTCCAAATCATGGTATGTGCGTTATTTGGGCAGTCTAGCATGATATGCTCAAGTGTTTCAATCTCAGCTTGGCAATGTGAGCATTTCGCTCAATGTTCGTAAGTGGGGATATTTGACCAGTATTCTCCTATTCGGTATGCACCGTGTATCACCTTGTATAGGAATTGTTGAATTTTGCGCGGTAGGTCCGTGTTTCTACATCCTTTCCATATCACTGCGTCTTCTTCTAGGTGACCAGTTAGGGTTTGTAACACATATCTCGTGATATCGAGGTTGTTTGTAGTCTGTCTTCTGGGTTTTGGTTTAATTTTTGTACGTATTCCTTTATACGCTTTTGCTTGTGTAATTAACGACAGTGCCACACCTTGTAGGTTGAATTCGTCTGGTATTGAGAGGTCAATCGCATCCTCGTTTGGTTTATTTGCTCCTTCATTTGCTAATCAGTCTGCTTGTTCATTGCTGTGATGTCCGTTGTGTCCTTTAACCCATATAAATGATGTTTGTGCTGACCTTTTTCTCAGGTGGTATGCAGTTGCTTTCATATATTCACTGTTTTCGACGTCAATCCATCCTCTGTTTTCCCACTCTGGTAGGTTTTTCGTTAGCCCTTCTATTGCGTATTTAGAGTCCATGACAAAAGTTATAGGGATATACGGTGCAGTTTGTTGTAGCGCTATCAGGATTGCTGCTATTTCCGCTATCTGATTCGATTGTCTCTTGCCTGGGATTTTGATGGCTCGGTTGTTTGGGTGGTTTTCACTGATCCATATTCCGCTTCCGCAACGTGCGTCCTTTTTCCCGTTATTGATGCATGAACCATCAGTGTATATTGTTAATTTTTCTTGTATTAGATTCATTCCTCTTATCGGTGTTTGTAGCCTGTGTGCCGGGGTGAGTGAGATGTGTTCAGGGTTTGTGAAAACTCTGAAGCCTTCGGAAATGTTAGATCTTATTGTGATTGACAGGTCAAAGAGTAATTCTCCTGTGCGGTGTTCGTGGGCTTGATTATTCTTTTCCTTTCTGTGGTGAGTTAAGGATAGGTCATCTTTCTTTGGTTTTGATTTCGTGTTGAATTTCGGGGCTAGCTTGCTCAGGATTTTGTTGGCTATTTGTGCACAGTAGTGGGGGTTTTTACATCCCTTATTTTTATCACGTTTGCAGTCGGAGCACACGCAGGTCTTTCTTGGGACGTGGAGCGGGTCTCCGCTAAAGCGTGTTAGCCTCTTTCTGCATTTTATCAGGTTTTTGACGTTTTGGACATTATGTGTCTCTTGTAGGCATTTATTTTTGGTTTTGTGGTACATGTTTTGTGGGGCACCTATGTTGTGCCAGGCTGGGAGTTGCTTCTTAATGTTTTTGGACATTTTGATCGGGGCGAAGACTATGTTGTGTTTTTTGGCGGTTTTTATTATTTTTTGTGCTTTGTTGGGTAGGGATTTTGAGTTATGTCCTCTGGTTGGAGGGTCCCAGCTTTGGAGAAAGGTATTATCAACTCTTTTTCCGTTGTTGACGTCTTTTGTTTTCAGGTTGTTTATTAATAGGTCCAATATGTAGGCCCATGTTGGTCTTGTTGGCAATATATTGAGGTACGATTTCACCCAGGTTATTTCAATAGCTTCGTTTCTTGACTTGATATCTAACAGGTTGATTCCTCTGGCTTCTCTTGGTTGGTATAGTTGTTCTAGATTTATAGGGGGGGATCGTGCGTCATTCCAGATGAAATTTCTAGTGGTTTTTACTAACACTGCCTCAATGTGTTTAGGCATTCCTTGCGTTTTTGCAAGGAATTGTGTCATACCACCAACTACCATTTGTATTATTAGCCTTTTGCCGTCTAGGTTTGGATGGCTCTTATTCCACGTTTTGAGTGCATTATTGATTTTATTCAGAATGGGCTCCCATGGTGTCGCATCATCTGTTTTGTTACCTATCCACACGCCCAGTGATCTTATGTGGTGACCATCCGGTGCAATTTTAATGTTATTCTCGAGTGGTTGGTTATGTTGATTTAGCTTTCTTGTAGATATAACACGTTGTAGGGATTCATTTCTGGCTGGGCTTGTAGAGACTGTTTTTACCTTACCTTATGTTGGCACTTTTGTAGCTTACATAATCAAGCAATCTTTTCACCAGTTACCAGTATGAGTCAGAGTCCTCAGTAGTTTTTATGATATTTCCTCTCCTCTGAGCCTTGAGCCTGGTCCAGAAACCCTTTAGGGTTGAATAGCAGCTAGGTTCTGCAAGACCCAACACATTGTTCAGACTCACCATCTGAATTGTTGTACCTTCAACGTTCTCGGTGCGTTTTTGATCCTATTGGTAGGATTTCCGTTTTTTCTAGGTTGAATTTCGCTCCAGAGGCTAGGCACCATTTCGATAGGATACTCTCAAGGTTGCTGTATTTATCATCTTTATTCAGGAATATTGTCGTGTCGTCGGCATATAAGTTCACTATTATTTTGTTCGTTATATTTGGGATGTTATATCCTTGTAAGTGTTCTGAGTTTCTCAATGTACAAGCTAAGGGTTCTATTGCTAGGTCGAAAAGCAGGCAGGATAATGGGTCACCCTGTCTAACTCCTCTCGTCACTTTGAAAGGTGAGCTCAACACTCCGTTTATTGCGACTTTTGTATAAGTGTTATTATACAGTGCTTTTATTGTTTTAACAAAAATTGGTGGGAGGTTGAATGATTCTAGCGTTTCTATAAGGTAATCATGGTTGATTCTATCGTAAGCTTTCTCCTGATCAAGTGCTATGAGGGCTCCGTCTTCCTCTGTTATATCTGCATATTCGATCATGACTTTCACCAAGCGTATTGGGTCAAAGATTGACATTTTTGGGAT